TGAAAAAACTTTCTTTCTAACTTTTTGGTAAATCTAAAATAATTATAAAATAACTTTTATTAAATGAAAGTACTAGAGTGTCTCAGTGTATTCTTTGTCTTTTTTTTTTTCAGAAAATTGAACTCAGGCCCTTGCTCTTGCTAGGCAAGTGCTTATTCTACTGAGCTATCTCCCTGGCCCCTGACTTTTTTTTTTTTTTTTTTCTTTTTTGGTGGTACCAGAGATTGAACTCAGGACCTTGTGCTTGCCAGGCAAACACTTATTCCACTGAGTTGTCTGTGTACATTGATTATGTGTTATGAATAACCTAGTTAAGAATCACAGAATGAAAGTACGTACTCCATCTGCCCCTTCCCAAACCTTACCTAAAAAGATTGAAGTGCATAAGAAAAGACACGCTTCCTAATGTTCTTAGTTACATGTTCCCTCCTCTGTCTTACTTATCACATCTATTTTTTCTTGCAAAATGAATCTAATTTGCCAACAAACTGCTTGTTTCAGCTGCACTTGGACTAAATGGAGATATAAGACTCAGAGCCTGGAGAGAGAGCTGTGAGCTAACGAATTAAGCACCTTGGGCCCATTCAAGTAGTGAAGTGGGGTTGGGGTTCCCAGTAAGGTCTTTCCTGTGGGTTGGCACCAAGGGGATCGGACATGCCCTTCTTTTCCCAAGATTGCAAGTTAACTGTGGATTAGGAGAAGACACATAATTTGGTGGTTTTCATGCAAAGTGAAAATGCAGGATTGCCGAGACAGAAGTGATGCAAAACTACCGAACTACACAGCTTCTTACTTGTGCTCTGACTTCATAATGCGCCATCATCATCTCCTTTGGTGCTTGCTGTCATGCTGTCTTGGGCACAGAGGCCCTCAGGAGTCAGGTGTCTCCCTGGGGATATCATAATGTCCCTGCTCTGTACCCACGTGTGGCTCACACTCACTGTCATGTCTTCCAGTGAGCTGCAGGGCCTGTGTGCCTTGTCCTAGCCAGACTCAAGCCAGAAATCCTTCCACAGAGTCTGGGCAGCTCCCGAAGGCTCTGAGGCCTCTTGCTTGAATGTGCAGGTGCTGATGGCCATGACCCCTTGCCCAAAGCTCCCAGGGCTCCGGATCTTGGCTCCAACCTCACTCACACCCGCCCAAGTCCCTGCTGTGTGGGCAGTTGCAGGACAGGTGGGGCCGGGTGTTCTGAGAGCAGGGCATAAGGTGCTGGGAGCTCTTCCAGTGAGGTGGGAGGGGAGGAAGGCTGGGCTGCCTGTGAGCTGGGGCTCCAACTCGGGAGCCTAATGCACTGTCTCATAAGGAATTTAAAACTCAAAGGCAGCTACTAAGACTTCTAATACGTGACTTGAGAGCTTTGAGCCCCCAGTCAGTGGGCAGGGACTGTGTGTTTTGAGCATCTGCCCACGAAGTCATCCGCACACCTGGTTGCCAGAAGTGAGGAGGGCCTAGGGGCACACACCTGCAGTCCCAGCGGCTGCAGAGACTAAGGCAGGGAATTGTAAACTTAAGAGGAGCCCGAGCAACTTGTCAAGGCTTGTCCTCAAAGTTAGAAATTTTTTTAATTTATGTATTTATTTTTAGGAGTAAGAAGAATTTATAGAGAGGAAGAAATTTCTGAGAGGGATATAAAGGGATCTGGAAATTGGGTTGTCCCCTATAAATAAATAAAAATAAATAACCTTAATGTAGCTGAGTGCAAAGGTTCTGGGGTCCATCCCTAGTAACACACACACACACACACACACACACACACACACACGAGACTTGGCCCTCTATACTGTCTTCCTTGTACATATTTACTGTCCTGGCTCCTGAAGGTAAAATTTTGTGTGTCACAGCAGCCACCACAGAAAAGTACCACGGTGCCTTTTATGGGTCAGGGAAGGTGAATTATAAACTACTGGCCTAAAAAATAGTTTACAGAAAATTCTCCTTAAACACACGCAGAAAGGCATATGACTACGGTAGCTAGCAGCAGGAATGACGAGCAGCTACTCCGCTGAGCAATTAATATGCCTGACAAAGCAACTTCCTCTAAAGCACCTTGTCAGATAAGTATCATCGCGTACTCCCTCTGAGGCCAAAGACCCTGAGTTTGGAAAAGTTAGGCTTTCTCCTCTAGGTCATACACTTGGAAAGTCTGTCTGACTTCCTAGTCTACATTTTGGAAGTTTTCTACATTTGCAGCCCCAAATGAAGGACAAAACATCACATAAATATAGGCAATAGGTTGGCAATAAGCATGGTTTACTTGGAAAGGGTCAACAATAGAAATATTACTTTGGGGCTGGGGAGATGGCTCAGTGGAATAAGCACTTCCCTGGCAAGCGCAAGGGCCTGAGTTCAATCCCACGTTCTGCCAAAAAAAAAAAAAGAAAGAAACGTTACTTTTGGTACCCCCATTTCTGAATGAATTAAAAGGATGTATTGAGACTTGGGTGTGTGGTGTAGTGTTCTCTAAGCAGAGATTTAGAGTTGACCTGGGAAAATGAGAGTGTCCTCTCTCCAGATGTATTTGTGGACAATAAACCTGGAAGTAAGGACAGTGAGTGGACACAGATGTTGATCTCTTGCAGGGTCTCGTTTGGCCTCCACCATCATTGGACAGTCCAAAGCAAAACACACGCATCAGTCATCCCCGATCTGCACCACAAACTGGGGGACACATGCAGTGATTCTTGGTTTTCCCAAGAAAAATGATCCCGAAGTGGCAAGAGCAGAAGCTGGTCCTCGTCCCTGCATTGGTCTAGCAGGGCTGTTTGTGACCTCTGCGGCTCCAGTCCCTCGCTGCGTGTTCCTCTCGTTATCATCCCCAGACAGCCAGACTCCCCCAAATATAAGACTTCTCGGTGCCAAGGTCAGTAACGTGGCGCCAGCCTTTGGTCTTGGGCAATGGGGCGTATAATTGTATCTTCTTCATCGATTCACTTCACTAACCAAGAGCATGTCTCATTACTTTCAAATATAAATAAGATTCCTGTCCTGTGAAAGAAGTCCTGAACCCCTGTTCTGAGGGCACCCCTCAGAGATGGCTCCAAGCAGGACGGTGTTTTACTTTGCCTTCACTTTGTTCTTCCTTTTGGCTCAAATGCCACGAGGTAAGTGAAAATGGATGGATGTTGATGAGGTAGAGTAGAAAGCTTGATGGAGTGTTTCTGTGTGTCACCCAAAAATTGAAGATGAAATTCAGATCCTCGCAGCACTTTTTGTAGAGATTTCTTGGCTCTGCAGTGACATTTTCAGAGTCAGATGTGTCTGTTGCTGTTACTTCTCTTTCTCCTTCCCCCTCTGCGAGCCACTCCTGCTGCATCTCTTTCGCTCCTGTGATGTGCTCTCCTGGGTTACTCTGGTGCTGTCCCAGAAAAATAGAATAAAATTGTACCTCTACCACCAGTAGCTCCAGTGTTCCATGTCACGTGTGAGAAAGCTGTTTACAATCTTGTTTCCTCCACTGACCTTCATTTCTAACGTGTATTTTATTTTACATTTAGGGTGCCATGCAGGACTTGATTATGCCCCGTTATTCCCAGCAGGTAAGTCGAACACATCCTACATCATTTTCCCTCTTCTCTTAGGAACTCGGGCCTTGTTAGTTACCCTTGATGAAGGTGAGATTCAGCAGTGAACACGGAATTGCTTGATTACATTCTAACTCCATTTCCCGGTGTAAGGAAGATCAGCTACTGTGGCGAGGATGGTTGCTTGGAAATGCCTCATCATTATGAAAGAATCCTTTATCATGAACAGCCCACAGATAGTTTTATGTCAGGACATATTATGCTAGATTGCTCATTTTTTAAAAATATGTTTGGTTGTTTCAGGGTTTCACTATACAGATTGGATTCATTGTGATCCTCCTGCTTTCAGCCTCCCCAGCACTGGGATTATAGGCCTGCACCACTATGCCTGGACTCTGGCTGGCCTACCCCGCCCTGGGCAGCTGTGCCGGGGATTGAACCATGATCCCTATGCTTGCCTAAGCCTGCCTAAGCAGGTGCTTTAGTCCCCTGAGCTATCTTGCTGGCCCCTAGATTGCTCATTTTTAACATGTGAGGTTGAACAATATTTTTTATAGCATTTGGGCCTAGCTCATTGTAGACAGAATTGAAAGAAGTACCTCTGGGTCTTGTGGACAAAATTGAAATGAGTTCAGACAACATTTCAGGGTGAGGAATACTAACGATGCTACTCATGATTGCTGGCTGCATCAGGTACTTTGTTAACAACTGAACGTGGACTGGATTATGTGCTCTTCAGGATGACCCTGTGAGATGGGTACTATGGGGTGACCCTGTGAGATGGGTACTATGGGGTGACCCTGTGAGACAGGTACTGTGAGATAACCCTGTGAGACAGGCACTATTATAACTCAAATATTCTCATACAATTTGAGAATATTATTTGACCACTAAGCAAATTAAAAATGTAGTCATATATTTCTTGAAAGTTCACAGGAATCATGCCAAGCACTTACCAAAGCATGGTAAGTACTTCGTTGAAGACACATAACTGTTACTAGAGAGAGGCAGGAATTGAGTCTAAAATTCCTCACTCTATTTAAGAATTTATTCATAAATACAAAATATCCCTCTTATTGACATTTAGAAGCTGTATGTGGGTCCAGGCGGGTATCTTTGTAGTTCTATGACACCCGCATTATTTTATCCGTGGGGTGCTTGCTTTCGCCCAGCGTGGCACTGACAGTTGGGGCGCAAGGGCTGAGGCTCTCTCCTGCATGTAAGGCTCTCTCTTCCCTGACTCCAGACCGCAAAGAGCAGAGCCAGGGACAGTCTTGAAAACAGTTCTGCTAATCATATGTACAAATCTTCTCTTTTTTGGTGGCCATGAGCTGCTCCTCGCTGCTGCAGAGCACCAGGGACGCTGTCGCAGCAGCTGTTTCTTGCGCAGGTGACGGCAGTGTGTGCGAGACGTGCAGGCTGGGCCGGGGCAAGTGCCGGCGGCAGTGCCTGGAGAGCGAGACGGTGGAAGGCAACTGCATGCTGAACTTCTTCTGCTGCCGGATGCGACTCTGAGACACCAGCTGGTTCTCCTCGGGGGCCTCAGGAGCAGGACTGCCGGGCATTCACGGATGGTCAGGAGGAGCCTCGCAGCTGCGCTGCCTCACGCGAGGAGGAGGAGGAGGAGGTTCGGGTGCCCTCCGATTTCTTCCCTTTTACTGCATTCTTTGTTGTGAGTTTGTACGCTTTTTGGAAATCATCAGCACCCAAGCAAAGAGGAAATGACTGCTTAATCAAAACTACTAATCATAGAAAGCATTGTAATTTATGCACTGTGTTTTCGTCCTTCCCTGGATGGCTCGAGGTACAGTTCGGAGGACCCACTAGGTGCCTTTTTGTTATTATATTTGAGAAATAAATGAGGCCCAGCCCAGTTAGCCTTTCCTCAGAGCTTCGGCTATGAGTCAGCGTTCTTCCGGCTGTCATGTACTGTGTACCCACCTGCCTGTACTACTAATGTTCATAGAGTTAATCAAGAAGTGGAAGTGTCATGCACATCTATGTTAATAAGTTATAATTCTATAGAATACATTTTTCTCTGCTTCATTTTTGTTATGATAATATATTAATATTCATTGATTTTAGTACTTATGATGCATTTTTAAAACAACTTCCAAATATTTAGTTAACGCCTATAAGGTTTGCATTTCTGTTTTTGCTTGTAAAAGAAATGGTTAGAGTACCTGAAATGTTCAGTGCAGAAATTATTGTACAACTTCTTCTATATTAGATACACTTTGTAGCTTCACAAAATGTTTGTTAGACTTCCTAGTGGCAGGGCCCAAGCAGATCGTGCATGTTTAACATACGAGACCCAGCAACATTTCCCATAAAATTTGGGCCCAAAATGATTTCTTTTGTAGAGGGATTCCTTCGCCTGGCTGACAGACATCCAGAGTAGGGGATGTGGCTGCGCCCTGGTAGCACTTTTCCGGGGACCTGCGGCCCCGCAGTCGGAGGTGTCTCCCACAGATGGCCCCCAGTCTCCAGTTTTCTCCCTTCCTATGCGCTCGGGTCATTTTCTGGTGATTTCCATGGAATGTCCTGTTCGTTCTTGTGACACCAGTCCTTCCTACAGGGTAAAATTTTGAACCAATCTAAGCTCATGTTGAAAATTCAGCTTTTAGGTACATCAACTGCATGGAAAGTAAGTTTCCTTGGGTCAGCTTTGGTTGGTTGTATGAGAACTCGGGGAACTTTCAGGTTCAACCTCTGCTGGATGTGAGAGAGGGAGAAGTCTTCCAAATGGTGGGTGCCTTGCAGGGGATGGCCAGGAAGAAGAGGCCCCGGCACCTCCGGCTTTCTTTGGAAGTGTATTCACTGCATTCTACATTGCTCTCCTGTTTGGGATGCTTTTGCACTATCATTTTATTTTATTTTATTTTATTTATTGGTACTGGGGATTGAACTCAGGACCTTACACTTGGCAAGCGGATGGCTATACCACTGAGCTGTCTCTCTGATACTCTATTAATTTTAAAGTAAAGATTATTGTCCAATTATGCTAACCACATATTCAACTTTGGGCTGGGCTTCTACTTTAAAACTCTCTTATGGTACCTGAAAAAGAATGGCAACACGTACAGAGAAAGACTGGTCAGTTTTGGCTGAAGTCCTGAAAGACACAGATAAAATATTAGTACTATTAATTCTCATATTGTTATTACTATTATATGTGTGTGTGTGTGTGTGGTACCAGGGATTGAACTCTGGACCTTGCACTTGTCAGGCCGGCGCGACGTCAGTGAGCTACCTCCTTGGCCCACTAATTCTCATGTTCTTAATTGAGATAGTGTTCTACAAGCACATGATTACCAAAGAAGTTGCTCATATAATGTGTGTGTGTGTGTGTGTGTGTGTGTGTGTGTGTGTGTGTGTGTGCTACTGGGAAGTCAACCCAGGGAATTCATACAGAGCTACATCCCTGACCCTTTTTTTTTGTTGTTTATTTTTAAATTTTGAGACAGAGCCTCAGTAAGTTGACCAGAGGCTGGTTCAAACTTGTAATCCTCTCTCTGATCTCAGCCTGCTGGAGTACCGCGACTGCAGGTGTGTGCTTCTGTGCCCAGCTACATGATGTGCTTTGAAACTCTTAGTTATTCATCTACTTGAGGGTACTGAAGAAGCTAAAAACGCATGGAAATCTGCCCTTGTGCTGTGATTGTAACTTGAGTTTGCCTTTCAAGGCAAAGGCATTGGGAAAAATATACTCACACAAGGCTTCCGGAAATGGGCTTCAAGAAGCTTAACCTTCCATCCCATGGTCTACACGGCCGAGTCACACATAGAGATACGGAGAAAAGGCCCTGGGTAGCGGTGCCTGTTGTGGCACGACAAGGAAGGGGCACCAGTGCAGGAAGTGACGGGGAGCTAGGCAGCACAGCCAGGGGTAGGGGGTGAGTGGGGCTCGTGGACTACCACAGGACTACCACCTGAGTGGTGTACAGGAGCCAGGAGAAAGGGCAAATCCCCAAGGATGGGGTCTATGTGCAGAGGAACCCAGCAGGACATGGTTTTAGGACGTGACTGAGAGAGTTCAGGGACATTCATAAGAGGTCAGCTGGGAAGAATATTAACCTGTCAAGAAAGTACACAGTGCTGTGGACTGTGCGGTGGCCCTGAGAGGCCATAAACATTTGTCAATCCAGAAAGGCCTCCAAAAAATCCTGCCCTACTAATTTATTTTGTTGTATAGCAAAACCCTGTAAACTTAGTAGCATGAAAACTGCATGCATCACCTCATAACTGCGCAAGCCAGAAACCTGTGCATGGTGTGGGTAGTGGCTTGGGACAGGAACTCACAGAACTGAAGTAAGTGTCGATGAAGCTGAGACTGGATATGGGTCAGGAGATCTTTTTCAAAACTCCTAATGGCTGGGAGCCCATCTGCTCCAAGCTGCCACCTGAAGGCCATGAAGCATTCCCTGTCCGTGGCTGTTCTCCTAGTGACATCCTTTTTCCCCTAGACCAGCAAGAGAGCTTTTCTCAGACTTGGGAACTCTCATCTACATTTTGCACCATGAAGGGAGGAAGGTGAAATGGAGCTATGATTTATGTCCAGTTAATGGTGTTTGACTGATATACTTCCTGACTTTGGTAATGTTAAAAAATTATGTAAACCATGGGGGCTGCTGAGTGGGAAATGTGCAGGACTTCTCTGGACAGCTTTGCAACAGATTTTGAATAAAGATTTGTAATGGGTGATGCATTGCATTAAGTTGAGAAGTTTGGAAGTTTCACTAAGCATCTTGGGTGGGGGAGGGACAGGGTCCTCACTTGGTAAGTATCCCGAGCCTGCATCAGAGGAGGGCGGGGAGAGGGTGTGAGTGTCACAGCCACCCTAGTGCAGGCAGCCTGCATACGCTCTAAGGGGCGAAAAGAGGCCTGCTCTGCTCTTGTGTCCTCTGCCACCTTGAACTGCTGCCCCATCATGCCCCCCTGCATTGACACCAGGTGACTATGGACAGAAAATTCCACAAACCATGAGCTAAATAAGCCTTTCCTTCTTTGACTTTGGATGTCTGGTATTTTGTCCCAGCAATGAGAGAAATGTAACTAAGACAGAATTTATTTCAAAAGAAATATTGATTATGAGACATTTTATAGAAAACACATGCTTTTATATCTTTATTTAAACCTCATTGCCTCTACCTTTTAATAGAAATATTCAGTCCATTAACATTTTATATAATTATTGGTATGGTTAGATTTATTCTACCAATTTACTGTGTGTGGTGTGTTTATTTCCTCCGGTTTTATTCTCCATTTCCTCCTGGTTTCTCTGAAGAGTTTCCTTATAATTTATGCACTTTAAGTCAGAGTCCAGCTGCCTGTGCAGAGTTCAGAGGTACAGTCTTGTGGGGAGTGCAAAAGCCACTGTCCCTACACGCACCTCTGTGAGTGGTGTAGGCAAGGCTCCGCAGGAGCCAGGCCTGGAGGCTGGGGGTGTCAGTGAAGGATTCTGGGTGTGGTGGGGGGCTGAGGGACCGCTGGCTCTGGCTGCTGTAAGTTAGTTCTTGCCCTCTTTTATTTAAATTGTGCTTTTTCCCAACAGGCAATTGCCTGTGAAATGTGAGCCTCTCCGTGAGCAGGGGCAGCTGCACACTGACAGCCGCAGAACTGGGTTTCCATTGGACCCCTTTCTCCTTAGAAGGTGCTCCCCACACGGGAGCTCAGTGCTGGAAAGTCAGCACTCCAGCCCTGGAAGGCGAGCTCGAGGCTGGAACATTACTGGGAAGCAGAGTCAGGACAATCTCAGCAGCAGGGCACTGTCTCAGGTGGCAGGGGACAGACAGGGCAGGTTGTGAGTTTCTCTCTGATCACTGAGAATTTACAGAATTTACTCAGCTGGCCTTCCTGGTGTCTACAGAAACATCAGTCCATGATTTATGATTTTGGTTTTTCTCTCTCTCTCTCTCTCTGTTTACTTATTTCTTATTTTAGTGAAAGCTTGACCTGAAGCGGGTGTCATCTGGGATTCATTTTCTGAGGAGAGCCGGTTAGATGCGGAGTAGGATGGGCACGCTTGCCCTAGGGCTCACCGTCCAGGATAGAAGCTAAAGCCCCCACCCCACAGCATGTGAGAACGTCATGCCTTGTGTTGCCGTGGTCATCACTGTTGTCACGAAAGGGCTGGCCAGCCAACGGCTTCCCGGTAGAGAACAGAAGAGTGTTCGGGCTCCAGAGTGTCTGTGCGGCGCCACCACCAAGACCCTAGGGGCGCTGCTGTCCCCACCACTCACTCGGGAGACTGAGGTGGGGGTTCTCGTGACCCTCAGACTGAAGACAGCGAGGGCCACAAGGCAGTGTCTTCTTTCAACCAGTAAATAAGTGAACGAGCAAACAATGAAGTGAATGAATATAGAAAATATAAATCAGCAAGCAGTGAAGGAGGGAGGAGATGTTTACAGGTCAGTGATGGCTCCGGTCTGGCACCAGCCAGAGGGTGGGATGGCTTTTCCCGCACCCACCGTGCACAGGAAAGCACACCAGCAGACGGCAGCCTTGAGAAACAGAGGTACAGGCTTGTCAGATATGTGTCCAGGGCCTGGATTCTTCCCCAGCTCAGCTCAGAAAACCAAACAGTTAGTTTGAAGGGTCAGGAGCTGTAGGA